GAGTGGAGCTGCTCTTCCCCCTGTTCTTAGCTGAGTTTCCCTTGGGCAGAGAGAAGCAGGGAACAGCCCCAGGGTCACCAGGCCAGAAGCCTTTGCTAGGCAGAGGCTTCCAGTTGTGGGTGGAGCAGGGCTGGGCAAGCCTGGCTGTGGTGGCTGCTCCATCCTGCCACTGTCTTCCCCTGGGTCCTGCTGCCACTGGTGCCTTGTCATCTTTGACAGGCAGCTAGGGGCAGATCATTAATTTTCCGAATTTTTTAGGGGCCTTGTGGGCTGGATTTTGCCTGCCCCTGATCTAGATCCTTTTTTGCAAAATTTCTGCTTAGCCAGTCATTCTCTTATTGGTTTGTGCTGTTGATGGTATCACTACACTTTTCCTTATTGAATTGTATCCTATTTATTTTGGACCATTTCTCTAGTTTATCAGTTAATTCTGTCCTTCAAAGTGTTTACCATTTCCTGTAGTTTTAGTATTGTCTACAGATTTAACAAGTACTCTTTTATTCCATTATCCAAGTAACAGATAAATATGTTGACTAGTACTGGTCCCAGGAGAGGCCAACTACTTTTTGCATGTGTTTTCCAAACAACTTTGCACTCACCGTATTGTAGTTTAATCTAGACCAGGACTGTCCAACTTGTGAGCATCTGTGGGGCCACAGGCCTCCAACCACCCATAGCACGGGCCTCAGGCCTGAATGGGCTACATGCAGTACAGGCTGTGTCATGCTGCACCACATGCGACTTCTTCTGCAGCACCATGCAAAGGTGGCCCCCTGCTGTGCTGTACCAGCATCCCAGGTCCCCCTTGATCTCTACAGCTGTGGTGTTGCTCAGGCCCACAGCTCATGCTGTTCTGCCCCACCCCCAATGGCAAGAACAGGTAGCAGAAGCTGGAGGAGAAGGAAGAGACTCCAATGGCAACAGCAGGAGGGTGCAGGGATCAATATTTATACTGGGAGTCCCCGGGAGCTGCACTTTAATGCCTTGGGGCTCAGATGCAGCCCACAGGCTCCCAATTAGTTAGCCCTGATCTCAACCTTATTTTCTTAGCCTATTTATGAGAACGTCATGCAAGATGGTATCAAAAGCCTTACTTACATCAAACTATAACTGAATCTACTGCTTCTTGCTTATCCACAAGGCCTGATACTTGCTGAAACTTTCAGGGCCACTTCTTCCAGTCTCACTGCTGCAGGATCACTGCCGGGGGTGGGAAGAGGAATGGACAAATAAACCAAAAATAACCAGATGGGAGGTTAAAGCGCCCCTGCTGCCATTTTTAAATGTGGGGATGCTGAATATGTGACACAGCAGCTGCTGATATGCACTAATTAGCATGCTCCAGCAGCCTCACAACAGACTCAGTTAATCAAGTCTGCTCCAACGTGTGCTAATTAGCACATGTTGGATTAGAGCTCCGTCGTGTATAAAGGAGCCCTTGGTTCTTAATAATTTCTGTGCCCCTGAGATTTACTTCATTCAGTCCCCAAAGTATTCTGGGGTGAAGTTCAGCAGACCCAGATGTTTCCAAATAAGTTAACTTACCTAAGCAGTATCTAACCTATTCCCTTCACTATTTTATCTTGAGCCCTTATCCCTATTGCTAATGCTAATTGTGTTGGATTCCCCTCCCCAGTTTGTCCCTGCATGCTTGTGCCCTACATACTTTACATTTTTTATTTAGTTTCCACTTCCTGTACAAGTCCTTCTTGAGTTTGAGGAGCTTTTTATCTTGGCCCATGTTTTCTTTGCATTGGCAGAGTTTGCACTTGAGCCCTTTAATATTATTTCTTTAGAAACTGCTACCTTTCTTGAACTTTTTCTACCCTTATGCTTGCTTCTGATGCGATCGTATCTACCAAATCTCAGTTTAAAAGACTTTCTACATCAGGTTGTACGATAAGTATTCTACTTTTTTATTATTATTTTGAATGAAAGTCTCTTAGAACTGCCGCTGAAAAATGGAGTCCTGAACATAATTGTATATAGTATATGTTCCCAAAAATTCTGTGGACAGGTGCTACTTGTGACAGTTTTTACTCATTATGCCTTTCACTTGGGAGTTCATTTGTTTCCCTAATGCTCTATACCAGGCCTGTTCAGCTTGCAGCCCATGAGGGGTCAGCAAACAGTCTGTGGACCTCAGCAGCTGCCTGTCCAACTGCCACATAGTGGGGGCCTGTGTGCTACCAGTGCTGCCTGAGGAGTGGTGGGAGGGCATTCCTTGCAGCATACTTCGTATGATTTGTATCACCTGATTGTGCAGAAATTGGACAAGCCCTGCTTTCCACTAAATTAAAGCATTGGGCATATAGTCAATGTAATGTCCAAGCCTAGATATTCCTGTTGTTCATTAGGCAACTGGTGATAGTAGTCATCACTCTTTTTCAGTACCATATGCATACATGGCACTTGCCTTAGTCCAGGGCTGCCAACTTGGTCAGTGAGTCACATGTGGCCTGCGAGGGTTTAATTTTCAATACAAGGGCTCCTGCCCCTCCCCCTTTCTTCCCCATCACCACTTTGGTTGCTGCTGCTGGGACGCCTTGGTCTCCTCCTCCCCTTCCCTTCTCCAGCTTCTGGAGCCGTTGTTGGGGAGGGTGACGTGAGGTGGGATGGCCTGCAGGAAGCCTGTACCAAAGGCGATGGGGGAAGAAAGAGTTGTGGTGCAACAGGATTCCCATATGCTGTGCGGCCCTGGCCACTACAAAGTTGAACAGCCCTAATTTTAATCCTTCCCTGATGATCTAACTTTGAGATGAGAAGGTAAAAGCTGTGTTGTGGGTGAGGGTGATGACAAAATATCATGCAGTTGCTTAGGTGGGTGGTCTGTGCGTTTTGTAAGGGTAATGTTTTTGTTTTGATACAGTTTGTTTTTAGACTGTGTCTTATAAGCCTCTTTTGAAGTGGAGTTTTTGGAATAAGCTCAATTAGTCATGGGAGAATAGACTTTTGGATTGTTATATTGAATCGATCCCTGGGCCAATGCATAGCAAACCTTTAAAAATAAAGACCATATTACTATTCCAGTTAATTATCCAAACTGCAAGCTTTTGCCTCCTCACAGTCTGTCCTGGAATTGTTTATGTTACGTAACACAAGCCTGAAGGTCCGTGTTTCTGAGATGAACATAGAACAATGACATTTTGACTTCTTAAACTGAAGAAAAATATGTATATTTTTATGAATGAAAAAAAAATTAAGCTTTTAGGATCAGAAACTATATAATTTCTTTCTCTCCTATCCCCAAAGGTAAAGTTTGTCAAGCTGTATTTGATATTAACTCACTGGGTCAGTGGCATCAAGTTGACAAATCTGTAAGTTTCAGGTCCCAGTATGCAAAATGCTGTTGGTCTTCAGACAACCTGTCAAACCTTGGAATTCTAGTCACTGGATCAGTTTCTTGATTACTGTGTAAATCTAGTCCTTCAATACGGAGAGGCAG